TTCACTGTTATAGATTGAATAGCAGTTAGTTATCTCCAAGCAGGTGTGTCAGCCCTACAGCGTGTACTCTGCCAGTACGCTGCCACCTCCTCTACTCCTCCTACTCCATCCTCTTCCATAACCTCCTTGGCTTAGTCCTCTTCTGCTGCTGCGTCTTGCTCCACATCAACGGATAGGGGGCGTAACAGTGATTAAACTGATAACAATAGTACTAAACACACCACTCCTATCTGGTGGCACATTAGATTGCACGCGCAGTGCCCCAAATTTGTTGTGATCTGTGAGTAAGGTAAGCGGTTGTCATACAAGTAGGTTGCAGCTTTTTGAGGGCCCACACCACCGCTATGCACTCCTTTTCAATGGCAGTGAATATACTTCGCTGTGCAAAAGTTTACGGCTTAGATAAGCCCCGGGTTGCTAGCCACCATCTGCTCCGACTTGGCTCAATGCTGCTCCCAATCCAAGCATAGAAGCGTCTGTATGGCCGAGAAAGTGTTTAGTTGGATCAGGAGAAGAAAGTACAGGTGATTTAATGAGCGCCGTCTTGAGCTGTTGGAAGGCCTATTCACACTCTGGGGCCCATACTACTATCTTGGGGAGGTTTTTACACGTTCCTATATGGCACTTACTGGGCTTTAGGGTCAGTCCGGACTCCCTAATCCGGTCTATTACGGCTCCTATGTGGGTCAGGTGTTCGGGCCAGGAGCTGCTAAAAATGTCTACACCATCCAAGTAGGTGTGTATCAGTGTGTATCAGGGATCCTTAGGACAGGTGTCAATCCATATCTGCCAAGTGACCCTATGTAGGGGGAACATTCTCTATTCTGCTCTGTGTAAGTGTGTATCATGGTCTCTGAGGATAGGTGTCAATCCATATCTGCCAAGTGACCATGTTGGGGTAACATTCCCTATTCTGATCTGTGTCAGTGTATCAGGGGCTCTGAGGACAGGTGTCAATCCATATCTGCCAAGTGACCCTATGTGGGAGAGAACAGTCCCTATTCTGCTTCCTGTGTCAGTGTGTATCAGGGAACCTGAGGACAGGTGTCAATCCATATCTGCCAAGTGACCCTATGTAGGGGGACCAGTCCCTATTCTGCTCTGTGTCAGTGTGTATCAGGGAACCTTAGGACAGGTGTCAATCCATATCGCCAAGTGACCCGATGTAGGGGGAACAGTCCCTATTCTGCTCTGTGTCAGTGTGTATCATGGTCTCTGAGGACAGGTGTCAATCCATATCTGCCAAGTGACCCTATGTTGGGGAAACATTCCCTATTCTGATCTGTGTCAGTGTGTATCAGGGACTCTGAGGACAGGTGTCAATCCATATCTGCCAAGTGACCCTATGTTGGGGAGATGGCAATTCCTATTCTGCTCTGTGTCCAGTGTGCTATCAGGGGCTCACGAGGACAGGTGTCAATCCATATCTGCCAGTGACAGTCTTGGGGGACCAGTCCCTATTCTGCTCTGTGTCAGTGTGTATCAGAACCTTAGGACAGGTGTGTGTCATCACCTTGGTGACGTGTTGGGGTAGCATTCCTATTCTGATCTGTGTCAGTGTGTATCAGGGATCCTTAGGACAGGTGTCAATCCATATCTGCCAAGTGACCGATGTTGGGGTAACATTCCACTATTCCTGATCTGTGTCAGTGTGTATCAGAGATGTAGGACCGTTGTCAGTATATCTGCCAAGTGACC